ATGACTTATACTGTTGTATCTTAACTGATCTTAGTTCAATCTGATTTGTTTGACTGCTGCTTATTGTTGACAAATTTTACTCAAAACTGATCGGTTGATGGTATCAAGTCGGAGAGTATAGACAACTATAATGAAAATAACAATAATTCACTACGATACCCATTCTGATTTGACTATTACCTGTTTTGCTAGCTTTACACTATCTACAAAGTTGTATTTCTATTAATTCTGTAATGAATTGATATAGTCAATTATACTTTATCTGATAATATAGAATTCTGTTGATGATAACGAGATAGCACAGTAACCATGATAGAACGCCTTGTACAGCAGTTTTACATGTCTTTTTAGTTTTATGTGTCTATAGGAATATGTTTTGTTCTGTCCTATTCTGTTCTGTTTCTCCCTCTAATATAGAAAGGATAGGAATATACGTTAAGACTCATGCTTGCGTGAAACCTATAAACAGTTCATGAGAACTGATCTTACAATACAGGAGGAAATGAACAAACACTTTGAAGGGAAAAAAGGGGCACTACAGTACCCAGTGCTGATTCTGGAGTGTCATGATGTGAAATCCAGAAACTCTATTAAGCTTTGTTCAGAATGATTTTGATCTGCTGTTTTGTTTGGTCTCAACATAAATGAAGTTATGGATAAATGTGTACATGTCTAAGTATATAGGATTGATAGCCATATTTCTTAGTTTTTGTTGGATAGTTGAACAGAACTGTTTGCAATCTCCCTGGTTGAATTACCATTTATATGCTCCACTTTTGTATCCTGAACAGTTATTCGTGGGGGGACAACATGTAAACATCAACTAGTGATTTATTACTGTTTATTTTTTTTCTTTGAAAGTATGTACTATTTCTGCCCATTTTCTGTTTTATTTTGTCTTTCTTTAAATAAAATTTAAAAAAATCATGTGAAAACTCTGCTATGAATGAAAACCCTGGACCCCTCAGGGCCTCACAGCCTAAATGTTACTCAAACCAGGTGCCAAACCATGTTGCTAGGATCAGTGCCAGAATCACCTCTCCTAAAAGTTCGGCCTGGCTTGCATTCTTCCTATAATGCTCCTTGGCTACCTTCCAGAGGCTGTCTGCCTATTACGGTAACATTTTAAAGTCAAAATTATTTGAATTCTCTTCCTCCATTAGCAGCCTAACACTCAATTTACTTACAGTTTCCATACAGCAGCGACCACATATCTACACCACGCAGACGTGAAGCATTAAACTGACCACAATGAGCAGGGTTGTCCATTTAATGACCACTACCGACCCGCAGCTCTCTGGGCCTCCCTACCTGGTGTCCGAGCCATCTGTGCCCTCCTGGGTTTTCCTACAGATATTGGGAGCTCCCTCTCGGTTTTTATTTTTTGTTCTTTCTTTCTGGACTTCCTCAGGTTTAGTTTTTAGTTTGTTTTTTTGTTTTTAACTCTTTATCCCCCCCCCTTCTCTTTCTGCTCCAATTCCCCTTTTACCACCTTTAACACGTCTATTTCTTCTTTTCCTCTGGACCACCTAATACTAGATATATTTTAAAGTTTATTTTAAAAAGGGTAAAACAAACATAACAAAACAGAACAAAGCAGATCAGAAGAAAACAATGCAAGTGACACAGATTTCAAAGCAAGACAACAGGAGACCTACAGTGGCTGCCATAATGTCTCTTGTTTCCTTCTACATGGTTTTCCATATCTTCACACACAATGCATTCGTACAAAACAAAATAATATTAAACTGATCAGAAGAGAGTGATGAAGGCGTTTTAGGTCTTCAAAACCTGACAACAGGGAAGTCAACTGCCATTATGGCTGCCATAATGTCTCTTGTTCTCTTCAAATTGGCTGTCCATACCTTCATGCATGTTGAAATTAAACAACACAAAACAGACTAAAACCACTCTGAACAAAGAATAGAAGCATTACTGGACTTCACAGCATGATGCTACAGAATTAGCAGTAGATACCATAATGTCTTTTTTTCTTCAAAGTCGCTGTTCATTTCATTATGCATAAAATAATCGATTCTCATAAACTGTTTAGGAGAAGTTCTATACATGTATGAGTCTCTACATGTGTATCTATCCTAATACTATATTTTAATATTATAGTTATAGTGCCTTAACACATGAGGAGTGCCTTAACACAAGAGTTAACCTCTTAGCTAGAAGAGCTTACTTTGCTGTAAGTTTTCCTTTCTCTCTCTTTCCTTCCTTTTTGGTACCAAGAATCAAATGCTACAAGTTTTAAAAGGCAAGCTCCTGTGAAAGCATCTTCTTATCCCTGAAACTCGAGCTGTCTTGCTGAAGCCTGAGTGCAGACAGTTCTGCAGAACAGCAGCAGCCACGTGTGACTTCTTGTGGTCAGGCTTCTTCCTTGCTGCACTGCTGACCCCCACTTCCCCTCTCACCGCTGCCTCCTCACCAGTGGCTGGTCTTCTTTGAGCTCTAGAACAGAAGCGCTGGGATTTAAGGTTACCAGCTGTAGCGGTCTGGGCTGCTGACACATATTGTCTGCAGCCCCTCCAAATATGTAATACTTGAAGAAAAATGAGTGTTCTGATTCCCAGCCTCCAGCCTGCTTTATCTCCCCATTTGCATCATATTTACATATTATTGACATCATGGAACTCAGTGCATCCCGCCCTGCCTCTGTCTTTTGTATACCTTTCTCCTTGACTGAATTGTAGCCTTGTGAGGGACAGGCACATCCCTTCTTTTGATACCCGTGGAGTTTTGTAAAATGTCATCATTGACCCAGCAGGGAGCCCGATGCCAGCCTGGCAGCAGAGCTTCTCCCTTTGGGCACAAGGTGGCAGACCAGGTCCACTTCTTCCAAACCTTATATGCGGCCAGGACAGGCTGAAGTATTCTGCTCTATTTTGGAAGCCTATGCTTCTTATTTCTTTTAATTGAAGATAATGCAGCTTGATGGCTAAAACTGGGTTTGGATAAAAGCCAGCCCTGTGCCTGCCAGCAGGGCATCCCCTTTGTGTCTCTGACAAAGCTTGCCCACCTCTGCTTCCAAGAGCAATGCCTCTGGCTATTGGGGGGCATTCTGGTTCCCTTAAGGAGAAGAAGAAAATATGCACCTGCCACTGCTTTAAAGAAGTACCCGTGAGCACTCAGGCACGGATGGAGAGAGGAGGCACAATCTGGCTGGGAAACGGGATGCAGCCTCCTCCTCAGACAGCAGCCGGGGACTAGCTCTGGACATACCCATGAGAAGGACCAGAGAAGCATCACTTTCCCACTCTTTCCTGCTTTTGTTTTACCACCCCAAGCATTTTGCACAGGGTAAGGCAATCTACAACATCGCCTGCAATGTATCTAGCAGGAGGATTTTAAGTCTGATATAGGTTTCTATATTAGTTGTCTTGATGCTTTTCACTTTTTGCAAAAATAATCTTTTTTTTTTTTAAAGAAGCAAAATAGGAGCAACTTATTAAGGAGTTCTAGTGGTGATGTATGTGATCTTTTCATGGATACTGACTTCTGGTATGCACAGAAGATGGAGAACAAAAGCAGGGGGAAAAGACGTATTGCTTCCCGGATGTACTTAGCATTTTATTCATCTATGTATACAGTCTATATCGTATGTAATCCATATGTTCTCTCTATACATCCACATATGCAACATGGATTACATGTACTGTGGATATCTATGTAACATACGGCAGTACAGTGAGTGATTACAGCCTACACTGGATCCAGGCTGCCTAGGTGCAAATCCCAGATTACCAGTCAGATCAGTATGGTGCTGTGGGTCTTGGTTTCTTATCTATAAAATGTAGGTGTACCCAAATAACAGGGCAGCCATACAGACAAAAGGATTTAACAGAACGTAACACGTGACAGTCCTCAAACCAAGCTGGCCATGATTGGGGTGTGTGTGTGTACTCGCCCCTCTGTGTGGTGCTGGTGGCAGTGCTGGGGTAGAATGGACCGACTGCATGGTTTCTCTTGCCCCTTTGGCTCAGCAGAGAGCGTCCTCTGTCTACCGGTGCAGGAGGTCCGATCTCTGGAAAGCAGCACAGAGTTTCCGACGTTCGCTTCTGTTACAGCATTGTTGCACTCTGCTGTCCAGGGCTGCACAGAACAGGCAGTCATGGCTTCTGCTGTTCAGGAGCTTACTCTTAAAGAACAAGAGAATATGTTCTTCCTCTGTCTTCTGCTTCTCCTTTTCTTCTTCTCTCGACTCTTCTCATTTGGAAGAATGTCAGGGATGGAGACTTACAAGAGCAATTGGATTCCACTACCAATAACAACAAAACTGATGGTGCCTTAACACATGAGGAATATTTGTCTCACAGAGCAAGGACACTGCAAGCAGAAAACATCTCTATGACTGTTTTGTTCTTTCCTCATGACTACAAAATACCTGCTACACTTCCGGATACCACATTCTGTTAGGATCAGAAGAAGGACATGAGATGGGAAGAGGTGAAGCTGTGTAAGTTCCTCTTATGGGGGGAGCAAAACCTTTCAGAATTTCTTCCCCTTCCTTGTCAGAAGACTTATGTGGAACTTCCAGAACTGTGACACAAGGCCATAATCAGCTAGCAAAGCATCCAGCTAAAGGAAGATAAAGCATCACTAAAGGAAGGAAGAAAAATAGGGTGGGAATCATTGGGAATGATCAATACTATCAGTCAAACTGAGTTTTTGTCTGGCTTTTGTGTGTGTGTTTCTCCTCAGGTTCTTCCCTTGTCTTTCCTCCTCCTCAGTCTCCTGGTAGGAAAGAGCCAGAAATTACTAACCTGGTGACATGAGGCTCATTCCAGGAACACAAGTGGCCTTGTAGGAGCTCATGTCTGTGCAATGAAGCAAAGTATGTAGGTGAACATGAAATAGACCTCTCTGTCAGAGCACAGGGACCCCCGAAGTGAGCTCGGTGCGCTGGGGACCTCACACTCACTGCCTTTGTCGGATCCGAACCCCTTTCATTGAAATCCTGCCTCAGACAACAGAATTCCTCATAGATCATCCACTAAGGTTGTCATGGATTGTTTATTTCCATGTCTGCAGAGCAAAAAACACAGCAGAGGCATTGGGACACTCACAAATGTTACAGATAACACTCACCCAAAGGCTGCCTGCTACACACTCCTTAGTGGGTATATTTTGAAGAAGCATTATGAGCTTGGCTAGAGTTCACACTATGATCATTAAACTAGCAACCCCCCCACACACACACACAGCAGGAGACCAAGCTTACAGGCCTGCTAAGCCCCTGTCCCTCTTCTGCTGCCCACTTCTGCTGCCCTGGGAGGTGACCAGAGGCCCAGGACACTAGCGACCACTGCTCTCACTTGAGCTGCTGCTGTCAGATGAGTCATTGCTGTCCCAGCTCCTAGGGGAGCTAAACCCCCTGTGAGAATGGGGTCTCCTGTGACCCCAGGACCCTCTCCTTTGTGCCCCAGCCTTACCTCCTACAGTGTCATTCTGTCCACGGGAGGCCTGCAGGTTCCTCCTGCTGTGTGTTACCCCATTCCCCTCACTGTGGGGGCCATGGTGGGAACTGATTTCATTCTTAATCTCATTATCAAGACCTCGAGGGGGAATAATCCCCCTCTGGCTCTCACCCCTACTAAAAAATTGGTGTTTTTCACTTAAGGCCGCTTGGTTTCTACCAGAAGGTTCTGTCGCTTTTCTAGCACTGCCTTTGCCGTGCTTTGGAATTTCATTGTGAGCGACACTTTTGGAGGCCACCCCGCCGCCCCCTTTGGTTTGCCCCTGGAAGGGCACGCTTGGATAGTGAAGCTCCACTTTCCCTCGGTGAGCATTCTGGCTCCCCATGTCCACTCTGTTTCCCTGTGTCCCTGGGAGGTCCCTGAAGTTGGTACTGCCCATGAGGTCACTGCTGCCCTCCCCAAGGCTCGGTACAGCTGCCCCTGCCTCCTTCTCAGTCCCCACCCTGGCCACAAGGACATTGTCCCTACCTCCGTCTGTCTCCGGGGTCTCATTAGGACCCAGGCCCCTCCTGTCAGTGTCTGAGGTCTCAGCTTCTCCGGGAACTAAGAGCCCTGTTTGTCCCTTGTCAGGGATGTCCTGAAAAGGTTGGCCGTCCCCACTAAAAGGAGAGACATCATTGTCTCCTCTCCCTTGGGCACCTGTGTAACCACTGCCTTCAAAGTCTCTGGGGATTCTTGGCGCATTGGAGAGCTGTGTTTGGCAGTGAGCACTGCACTGGGTGTGCCCAGCACCTGTGCTCCTCCCTGGGTTGCTCCGGCCTCCTGCGCCTGGCTGATGCCTCTTTTTACCTTGGGAGCGGGCTTTGGCATAGTTGACATCTGCTGGAACGTTTCTGGGAACATTTCTAGGATTCTTCTCACTGTCTTGCCCCTCCCACCATTCCAACACCGTCACCGGCCTTGTTACAGCTGGAGCCTTGTTTCTGAGGAGAGCTGTGCCATATTCTTGGACATGCAGGCTCCTCATACCGCTGTCTCCATCCTTGGTCCTGCTGGGGCCGGTGGACTCAGGATATGTGGGCACCATTGGGTGCTCGCCAGCCTGATCTTTGTGAATGACTCTGTCAGCTTCCTTCAGGGTTTGTCTGTCTGGAGAAAGATGCAGGGATTTACTACTTCGGTTATTTCCACTGGCTTCAAAAAGGGACAACATTTTCTCACCTTCCGCCACAATATTTTCACGAGATGACAGCTCCTGCTTTCTTCTCTTGTCGAAATGAGCAGGAGCAATATCATCCTCGCTTTTTTCTTCCTGCTAAAGTACAATTTTCAATATAAAGGGATTATTTCATGTTACTCTTTCAAAATCTGCTAAATCTTAATAGTTAAATAGTTAATAGGCAATAGTTAAAAAACTAGCATCATATAGTCAATTAAAAGAAGGTATTAATTGAGGAGAGGTACACAGGTAGAGATCTTTCTGGAATGACCACAGCAGATTTCACAGAGAAAGAAGCCGGAGCAAAGCCAGAAAGGCACGCAGCGTGGGAAAGGTGGTGAGAATCTTCCCAGAGGGAGGAGCAGAGCCCAGTGTTTGGAAGCACAATCACTGAAAGGGGATCCAAAGAAACCCATAAGGCTGGACTGGAGAGTTCTTAAAGAAGAGAGCAAGAAATTAATGTGGAAATACAGATTAGAGGCAGATTTTGAAGGAGAATCAGAATTTAAGGAGAACGTGATTAACGAATGTGACCCTGCTATGAGCAGGGAGTCACTACCAGTGGAATGGATTTCGTGTTCTTAAATTCTTCTCTCTCCCCTCCTGCCCCTCTGTGGCCCCTGAGTATCAGAGGTACAGGTACTCATCTGCCTAGAGGAAGAAGCTCTTCCTTTCCTTTATTTCTCTCCTTTTGCTTTGACAGAAAATCTGCAAATAGAAGAACTAGGTAATACTGAGCTTCTGATTTTCAAACAGAATGTTTTGCACGAAGATTTGCCCTTGTAGTCATTATCTGGAAAAGGATTGGTGAATTTTCTTTTCTTTCTCCTGAGCTGTATAATGACGAATCTGATTGGTCGTTCTCAGTTTAGCCCTGAGCAGAGTTATCTGGAAAGGATTATCTGCTGGAACAAAGGTTGCTGAGCCTGATGGCCTTGGTTTCTGACTCAGGGGTCTTGGGGCAGGGTCTAGAAAAGGCCTCCAGACAAGTTCTCAGATGTCGTGGCCATACTGGCCTGGGGTCCATTTGGAAAACATTTCTCATTTCTGTTCTAGATCAGAGATTTTAGTAGCAGCAGCTTAAGGAAGAAGATTCCTGGGAGAAAAATGAATTGGAAGAGAGAAAGTGGTGGTCCGTAAAGTATTCACAAATGCACGCACGCACACATGCACACGCACATGGGCACGTGTGCCCAGATACACACTGAGACGCTATTCCTCATCATCAGAGGACTGTGAGCCTCCTCTCTTCTGTGGTGGAAGTTGGGGTCAGTGTGTAGTGTCTGGTAGGCAGCGGGTGGTGTCAGCCACCCCTTGGTGCCTCCTTAGAAAAAGTGGGGGACTGATGACCTCAGCGTGCTTCTGTAAAAGAGGCTGAAAGGACTAGTTAAACTACTTAGATAACCCTGAGTTATCTAAGTAACTGGCTTATGGCTCCCTAATCCCATCCATTAATCCTTCCTCTAAACTCTCAGACAGCAGGGCAACTGGGCACAGAATAAAGACCATACTTTCTTTCCAGCACTGAAGTATAGAATGAGTGAGCCTTCACAGGACCACCACAGCAACCTATGAATGTGCAGTAACAAAAAATCTGTGAGGTACTTACCAAGGAGTCGAGCTATTTAGGAAATCGACTGGGTGCTACCTGTTCTGAGCAGTGTCCCATGGCCTGCTGAGACATGGAAGGATGGCCCAACTCCTGTTGGGTCCCTGTGTCCAGACCACCCCCTGGCTGTGGCCATGGGACCCATAGCAGTCCCAGACTCTGAAGTGACCTTGTCAGTCCCAGGCATAGCGTCTGTACCTTCCATAGCTCTGTTTTTACCATTCCATCTTAATTTATCTTGTCTTCCCTGACCACACTTCAATCTGCTCATCTGAGCATTTTCCAGGATCTGTTGGATAAGTGAGAGCTCCCCAGTGGAGAAAAAGAAAGCAGCGAGCTAGAAGTGCATGTTTTGGGGGTGAGCACAGAGGAAAGGTAGTAGCCAAGATGGGAAAACCAGGCTTGGGAAGCCAGGGTTGTAGGGAGCAGATTCAGCATTGTAGGAAATAGTGGACAAGGGTTACCAAATGGTTTTCTTTTTCGTTTTGGTACCAGGGAATTGAACTCATGACCTCACATTGGCCAGGCAGGTGCTTACACCGCTGAGTTAAATCTCCAGCCCCCAAGTGGTTTTCTCAATCTCTGTCAGTCCAGCGCTCACTGGAAGAAGTTGTAGCGTGGAAAGAGAACAGGTGTTAGAGTCAACCGGCCAACTCTGCCATCAGGCGGGCGTGGGAGCCATTGTTTTAATTCTCTGAATTTGGGCTTTTTTACGTTTCAAGGACTGTTGGAAAAATTAAATGATTTTATTACATGATGTAATGCGTGTCAAATATCTAGCATGTCTCCATTAAAACAAATTCCCTGGAAGTGATCGCAAACATCATTTCTCACTGAACCATGCTGAGCTCTTTATGGAAAGGCAGCTTGCTTTCTTACATGAGCTGACCCTGACTGTGTGTTACCACACTTATGAAGTACAACTTATTGCAAGATAAAAGTGAAGATGACTGAACCATAGAAGTTATGGCCCAGCCAGTAATTTTTATATTGCCAGATGTATTCTCAAGAGTTTAAGATTCAGCTATGAGAAGGCAAGAAATAAGCTTTATTGTGAGTCACTTCTGCATAAAAAGTGTTTTAAATATTTAACTTAGTTTAGGTCATTGAGGCTTTGAAAGTTTTCCTTGGACCTTTATAATTCTGTTGCAATCAAGTTCATTAATTCATTGCTAATGTAACCTTTTGAATAAAACAGTTGTTGAGAATTCCAGTAAATTATAATCGTCTCTTCTTGAATTTTTTTCTTTCTAGTCAGAAGTAGGAAGTTTTATTTTTGATGCTTCTACTAGTTTTAAAAGTGTAGCATGTCTACCGATGAATTTGTTAGACTGAATGGAATCCTTCATAAAGGAAACATGAAACAATGTTTGGACTGTGCTATGTTTTAGTTAATCATTTTAACTATGCATTGGGGGAGATATTTAAACATTGGGAAACTTTTCTGCCTTTCCTCCTGTGAGTGATCTGAACAGCATTACCAGCTGCCGAGGTCTCTGGCTCAGCTGATCGTTTGCTTTCCTGTGTTCTCCTCCTTTTCTATTTCCAGACTTTGGTTCACAGTGTTCTTTCCTTTGAGAAATAGCCTCTCCCACTCATGTCTGTTTCCTTAAATCCCAATCACTCTCCCAATCCAAGCTCAATTACTCCCATTATGTAGCCTTCCCGGAACTCCAGACAGGAAACACTTTCCTTCCAACCCAACCCCCTTAAAGTGTGATTTTTTTTTTAATTTCACCATTCAGATGGTATTTTCTGAATTCTGCCTTGGGTCTGATGATTTTGGAAAGTACTTCTTTTTTCTTCTCCAGGATCCTGGGTAGAACAATTACGTTTCTCAGTTGTTTATGTTCACACAGGACCTTACACAATTGGGAGAGTTTGGTGTGTGTGCATCACAACCACGAGTTCTAGCTAATTTTAACAGACACTGAGATACTGCTTCAGTAATGCCATGTAAAGGATACTGAACAGAAGAAAATTGTCTCTAAGGAAACTGCTACTTCCAGAGGAAATGAAGCCAGATTTGGAAAAATAAACAGTCCTTTTGCTGATAGCTTTTTAAGCTGTTTCCAGCGCTTTGGGCAATGACTCTGCAGGAAGGGACTGAGTGAAAGGATCATTGTCATACAGCCACAAGGGCCTCATTCTCTCTCCTTGAGCATGGATAGAGTCACTCATGGAATGAATTTAAGAGACACTAAAGGGTTTTATGCTTTGGTACAAAGTCATGGCTCCTATTGATCTTACCCTGGTGAAATCCCGAGAGTTACAGCATATGGAGAAGTTTCAACGTTATACAGTCTTAGTAACAGGGCGTCTGGTGGCATGTGGGGCCCACTAGACCCTGCTGCAGCTGCAGACTCAGAAGCAGAGTGGGACCAGGCCAGGGTATGGGTCCAGACGATTCTAGATCACACAGCTGTATGCTGCAGAGCTTTGAGGAGCCTGGGATGTGGGGGATGGAGAAAGGCCCAATTACAGCAGCTAAACTGCACCTCTCTGTCTCTTAACAACCTCTGCAGGCTTAGTCCAGGGTGGGAGTCATGGTAAGGCAACCAGCTGCCTTCTGTCAGTTTGACCTGTTTTCCCAGGAGAAAGCAAACACACTTAAAACACAGAATGCCCACGTTTTTCATGATGGTCCCTGCACATATCTACAAAAGCACAACATAATATTACGGTGGGTTTCTACGATTCTTGCAAAGAAGTTTTCTAACATTCTTTTTGATAATACAGAACAAAGTATTTTTAACTTGAGGTGTCGAATCGGTTGCCGTTTGCTTCCGACCAGTGGTAGTACCTCCTTTACCCACAGGGGGTCGCACGTCAGCCAGCCCCTGAGGACGGCAAATCGCTGCGCCCTCTACTGATCTCTTAAGGTTTCCTTACTTGCCTATCAGCTGCTTTTATCTGTCAGGGTATAATTTTCCTGCACATTTCAATGGAAAAGGAGCCTGGGGAGATATGTTTTCAGGTGAAAGGGCGAGGAGTCCAGGATAAAGGCAGGTTTTATGATACTAGTGTCTGATGTTCAAATTATAAAACTTACGGCATGAGCATCCAGGTTTTTAAGTTTGTGATTTTGGCCTGTAATTTTCAGCTGAGATAAAAAAAAACCCAGAAGATTGTGCGTTCTTAGGATTTTCTGAGGCCGCCAGGAGGCCCGCAGGAGGCGGAAGCAAGCTGGCCTTTGGTGCACCTGCAGTGTTGCTTTATTTTCTGGACACTCGGGGGAACTAATTTCAGGGAACCTAATCGACCTGTTCACCAACGTCTATTTTTCCTTTATCTATCGCTTTTCTGTTCTGTGCACTTGTGGAAAAGCACTGTTAGGAATTATCCCCTGCAGCTTGCAAGCCACTGTTTCATTTGAAGGAAGAAGCCAGGCTGCAGAGAAAAGATCTCTGTCCACAAAGCCTTCCTTCATTTCTGTCACACACGTGTGAATTACAATACTTGATTAACTAGAAAATTCCCAAATTACTTTGTATAATTTTTGTTTTTCCAATCTAAGTACCCAAGGGTACCTGTTTTTATTTTTTCTTTTCCTCCTCAGACAGGGTTTCACTATGCAATGAAAGATGGCCTTGAACCCACTTTATAGCCAAGGCTGGCCTTGAGTTCTCAGGAAGCCTCCTGCCACATCCTCTCGAGTGCTAGGATTACAGGCATGTGCCACCATGCCCGGCTCCAAGAGTAGTTTTAAAGTTAAAAATTTCTCATATGGAGTTTTTCTCTGCAGAGTCAAAACAGATGGAGAAGAACCATCCTGTGTCCTCCCTGTCTTCTCTCCTGGCCTTGCCTAGTTTTCAGTCTGTGGTTGAAACGTCTGCAGGGAAACAAGGACACAGCTTCACCAAATAGAACATTCTTTCACTCATCCCTTCAAACAACAAGGGTTTCATTTATTTTTCTCTCCCTGGGAAGTATTATTTCATGTGAAAAATCATTCTGACCCAAAGCAGGCAGACCCGCTTGTCCCCTTAGCATTTATTTTAGGGTTGCAGGAGGACACCCCAGCTTTCCTCCCCCAGACACACAATGCCACATCCACTGCAGAGCAGATTCCAGCACTGAGAGCCAGCAGCGTGTGGTTGGCTGGGAACGGGCAGTGTGGGGCCGGGGTTAAGATGGGCTCCCATTGGTGTCTGCTGGAAAAATGTCCCACTTACACACTAGCGTTGTTTAGCATAAGGGAGCTAAACTCTGCTCGAGAGGGGGTTGACAGCATGAGCTCCGTAACCACTACCCAGAATTAAGATGTGGTGGCGCTGATTGATCATCAGGACTCAAACCTTTGCCCCTCGAGTCCAGGGTGGTGTCACACCCAGGAATGGGCCTTGCTCAACCAGTTGCCGGGTAGGATGGCTCAGCAGGAAGGGAGAAGGAAGCCGAACGCAGATGAGGAACAAAAATGTTCTGAATTTCTTAGGGGTGAGGGGCCACTACTGGAACGGGGAAAGGCCAGCAGCTAAGGAGGCCAGACCAGTGCAGCTGCCCTAGGCCTTCAGACTGAAGACACCGGGGAGCCATGCAGAGCAGCACCTAAGGACCCTGCAGCCATGTTTCGGTAAAGAAACAAGTGGGCCAATTCTTTGGTTCCCCCTATTTCAACTTGTCTATTTACTTTCCAAGCTCTTAGCTTTTCTCTGATGCAGCAGGGCACGCAATGAGAGACGTGTGTTTGTGTTTCTGGGGCAGTGCTAAAGGGAAAGCAGGCACCATGGTAGGTCAGTCAAAGGAGAAAGAGAGAGAGAGAGAGAGAGAGAGAGAGAGAGAGAGAGAGGCAGAGACAGAGAGAGACAGAGAGAGATAGAGACAGAGAGAGACACAGAGACAGAGAGACAGACAGAGAGAGACAGAGAGACAGAGAGAGACAGAGAAAAGGGGGCGTGCTGTGGATGGAAAGATACAGAAAGTAACTGGGGCCACCTCTGCTGGTTGGCTCTTTCACTAGAGGGTCTTCTTTCTGTGTACCCCCTAACATCATGGCTTGCTGGTTAATGAAGTCATTTTAAGAATATAAGCTCAAAAGCTTGGTGGGAATTTCCACTGACTGGCCTCCGACATATATCTGCTCAATATTGCATTTCATTCTAGAAACAAACAATAGTTCTTCAATAACACCTTGTATTTATATAGCACTTCACAGTTTAGAAGCTACTTTTGTGCGGAAATCTCCTTTGAATTACATGACAACCCCTGAGGTGAGCAGTGCACATGCAGTGGCAGTAGTAGAGGTCGGAGGGATATTTAACCCTAAGTCCTCTGTCGCAAATCCTGTGGTTAACATAACACCTTCACTACACCAAAGCAGTGAGCACTTCTGAAATTAAGACTGCAGGGGAAGAAAGCAAAAACAAGATGGACAGATACTAAACAAGAGAATGAAATGAAAGCATAGATATCTTTTTATACAACGCACGCAATTATATTAAAAATATAATCTTCCAAAAATGTATACACAATTTAGGAAAAGAAAAATAGTGGATTCTTTCAACAGAGGTTGTTATTGTCGCAGGGGTGACCCCAGAGGATGTCATGTATCAGAGAAAACTTGCTAAACAGCCCACCCTTAGAGAATACGCTGAACATGCACATGCAGCAATCTCAGTGACCAAGGTGACCCGAGCAGCAGTTCATCACACTAACAAATGTCTGGAAGCTCATGGCCACTACGTCCAGCACCTCGTGCAATGGTAGAGGCCAAAGGTAGCTTCTGTTAATCTCATGGTGTCTCCGTAAGTTTAGTATTAAAACATTTACACAAGCTTCCCTTTTCCTTTTGGCAGTCTGTATTACCTGACCATACAGACTTCCTCAGTACAGTTCACAACACATTGTGACCTACAGCCATTGTGATTGTATATTGTTAAGTGTTAGTTGAATCACATGATCAACTGTTACTTGCTTTCATTTAAAAAATTTTGGGGGCAATTTGGCTTACTTTAAGACGTATATATGTGACTCAAGATAGGCTAATATTATATACCTGTCTTTTATTAGATAAATTAGGTAACTGTTAAGAGTGGGATCCGTCTCTTTTGGAGAAAATGTCACAGTCCATGCAGTGCTGAGTTTGGTCTCCATGCCCTTGCCGAGACCCCTTCATTTGGAATCTGCACCTCTCCTTCTCCCCAGCCTTCACTCAGCATTTGCCCAGGCTTGGAGGTGGCATTGTAATGGAGATGCCATTGCCTAGCACTGGTAGGAAAGTGGCATGGTCTTCTGACCTGTGGTCACTGGGTTGATGTGGTCATAACATTTTGCTGGACAGTGGTCAGAAGTACCATCCCTGTTCCTTGGAGTGTGCTGCTCAAAAGAAGCCCACTCTCAGATGGCTGGACTGGTCTGGATCTGGAGGACCCATGCTGGCCCTGGCGAGGTCACAAGAATTGGACCTATGGACATCTGTGTTTAAGCATCTGGTTCCAGGAACTGAGCCGAGGTGTGCTGAGTGGGGCCTGCTCTCCAAACACCATCTGCCCTTGCCAGATGGTGTGAGTCACCCTTGCCAGTCCGGTTGCCTGACTGGCCTCCCACTCATCAGGACCTATATTTAAGCGTGGCGGGCAGCAGAATGATTCTGCATTTCTGTGGTTCTGCAGCCGAAAGGTTACTCTGGGGAGCTGGGATGCTGCTTAGACATTGTCTAATTAGCACCATGTCTATATTATGCCTGTAGCACACAGAGTTGTTCCAAGGTAATTTGGTCGCATCCTGAAGACTCCACTGGGTAACTCACAAAAGGAACTGTGAGCTTTGTATGGGTTAAATGAATGGGTACCTCTGCCCTGCATTAGCCTCACCAATGGAGAGAACCTGGCTAGCAGATTCCTGCAGCGCTCAGGTGTTGCAAGAATTAGCAAAACATTCTTGTCCCTTTGCATTGCCATTTAGTTACCAAATATAGTTGGTTAGCCTTAAAATAGCCATGTCAAATTCTTCAAGTTTTCAGTGAAGCATTGCAAGGCTCTTTTGAACCTTGAACTTGAACTCATTATAACTTGAGTTTTTAAATACTGCTCATTAGTTTCAGCTATTGGTGTTCTCAAAAGCATGGATTTTTGGTGTTCTTTAAGAATATCTTGTAATCCAGTGCAAACTCATCCAGGGTCTCCTTGGTAACAGGCATTTACTGATGGATGCTATTTGTCTCCTACTTGTCTTGAAGCAGGTGCTGCTAATTTAACAGACAGAGCTGAGAGGAAAGACAGAGAGAGCAAGAGAGTAGACGAAGCATAAATGAGGTTGTAAATGCTTACTGTAGCTGTCCAGGTCACACTGAAAAGGAGCAGCAGTCTCACACAGACAGCTTGCATCTCTGAGAATCTCTATGAAAAAACAATGATATTTTACCCTAAGATTTGTCAATTATCAATTGCAGCCATAAGCAAGGAAGTGTAAATAAACATCCTTCTTCCCCAGCAGTTCATTTCCTTTTATTATATATTTATATTACATATTAATTATCCATTAAACATACTTTTACATATTTTCTATAGTTATATTTACAAAACTAGCATATATACACACACATATTGCATAACTTATGCAAGCCCAAAAGTGAATATTTTAATCTAAGAACATCCCTATGCTTACTCCCAATGGGAAAATTATTGAATATCATTAAAACAATAGTTGATGCACCTTGAGACCATATGAGAAACTCCAAATATGAATAAATTAATTAAATAAATAAAAGACAGATAGTAAGAAACAGAAATAGATCTTTTGCAAAAGGGAATAGGGTCAATAAATGGAGGAAGAGGAAGGAGACAAGGGGAGGGGAAGTGGAAATAAAAGGAACCAAGATATGTTACATGTATGTATCAACTTCCAATGCTAAATGCCATCATTATGTACGGTAAACATGTAGCAATGAGAATAAAATGCTAAAAAGATATGAATTTTATAGTTGCATTTATTTGCTAGGTCTGTTTTTTTTGTTTTACCTTTAGAAAAAGATCATTATTTGTATTATTTGTGTAATTTGAAGTGACAATAAGGTCACATAGCAGCCTGAGACAGAATCTTCAAGTGTCAAAGTAGAACACCCCACTGTATGGGGTGGAATCTTACCTGATCACACCTGGTGCCCTCTGTGCTCTTACATTCATTACCAATGTACCTGAATCAGTCACCACCCATGAGATGGAGAATAAAACCATTTATTTAAAACATATTAACAGCTAGGGCTGATTAAATACTCAGAGAAGCTCCATACTGTTCTAAGAATTTTGCATGTATTCAATTATCTGACCCTCATGGTGCCCCTAGGAGTGAGGTGAATTTCTAGATCTGTATTCTGAATAGCTGGATAACTTATCTCAGAATTTTTAGACGTTCAGGGGCAGAACTGGGTCAGTACCCAGCTATACAGCCAAAAACCTTAATCAAGAATCTACAGTATCTTAAATACCTTAAATAAGTGTCTGTCCCTTTTACAGAAAGATCTACATGTGTCTAACTAAAATGTAAATTGTATTTTATATTGGGTGCAGTAAAAGATGTTTAAAACAATGTTTAGTGATGGGTAGAAAACATTTTTATAGTTTGATAAATATATTGATAGGATCTAGTAAGTTTGTTTTGGTCAAGTAACCACTAGATTGTAAAACAGCCTTAGCATAGTTCGGACTAGTGATCTCTTGGTTGTGGTGAGCATTAAATATTTCACTAGTATAGACACATAGTACTACACAAATACATAGCAACCAATATTAGAATAATAAAGACCATTCTTTTTGGTTACTTGGGAGAAAACACTTTTAAATGAAAAATAAATATTCTTGCAATGTTTAAACATTTCAAAATAAAAACTTTTAATTGGAGAAGTAAATTAAGCTGCTAAATATATTCTAAAGTCTTAAGATATTTTCTTCCAAGTAAATACAGTTTTAAGATCTAATTCAAACTTCGCCTTCCAAGCAATATATAGATCAGGAAAGTGTCAACTACTTATCAAATATCTTACAACTGGTCAGCAGGATATCAGTGCAGACCAAGTTTGTGGGTCTTGGTGAGGCTGACAATCAAATCAAAAGGAAAGTTTCGACATCCACTTTAGTTGGTGATATCTGGAGCCTGGCAACACATTTCTTACGTTACAAAAGAAAGCACTAAACATTAGACTGTGATGCTCAGTAGAGAATATCTTCAATTTGCTTCTATTTTCAAAAGCAGTCACCCCGTCAGGGTGGTAAGCGTCTTGAAAATGTAAACCACTGACATATAAAGCTACTTACTATCAAGAACATCATGAGAGCAAAATTACCTGGGATCTTTGTCCTGCCGAAAACGTGGCTTCTCCTGCAGGACAAGCAGTCTCTGGGCCTTTTGCTGAAATTTAAAGTCTGTTCGAGCTCCCAATGTCCAATCAGCACTGGCTCACTTCACACTAGCAAGCAATTTGTTATGTGTGCCCACAGATAACCACAGGGGGCAAAGTAATTTTAATCTAAAAATGTTTTCGTGGTGGAAAGGTGCTATCAAATGTTCCAGAAAGTGGGATAAACAGAAAATATAAATAGTTCAGCTTGGACATCATGTGGACAGATAATGAGAACTGATTTGAAAACTATTAATTAGGATCGACTAAAGATCCGACATGTTTATAAGTGGAAAATATTTATAAACAATTATGTGTATAGATAGGAAATATTTTTATGTTACATATAAAGTCTATAGTTTCAATTTCCATCTCAGTGGAATTCAGAAGCATTTAGCAAAAATGAAATTCAGAAGCATTTAGTAAAATTCTCCCTACCACGGGAACAGGCACTGGAAGAGGAACTGTAAATGAATATTGGGCTTCTGCGTGGGGCTCTCAATCCAGGGGCAAATGCAGAAAATAGGGTGAATAGATAGGATATGTTATATTAGATAATAACATAGCTAAAGTCTAAGAAAAAGACATTGGTTGGGGAGTGATGGCAAACATTGGGAATGAGGAGCCTGGGCTGAAATTTGAGGGGAGGAGTCCCAGGATGGTCTCCTTGGGAAGGGAGTTTCTGCCCTGGTTTGAATCCATGTGTTCCTTCAAAATCCATGTGCTGGAACTGAAACCCAGTGTGACATTATTCAGAATCCGGTGTTTAGTAAGCAACTACATCATAAAGGCAAAGGCCTGAAGGATTGGCAGCATTGTGAAAAGGCCGGAGGGCACCCTTGCTGTGCTGCTGTCTCCATATCTTTGGAGAATTAGGGAGCACAGTGCTATTTTGCAAGCAGACATAACAAGTCCCTACCAGATACTGCACCTGTCAGCAACTTGATGTTAGACTTTCAGCCTCCGGAATATCCACAAGTAAATTTTTGCTCCTTATATGTTACCTGGCCTGTGGTACTCTGTTTAGAACCATCCACAGACTGAGCAAACTTGTTTGCTCTCTACAGGAAAAGTGTTTCTGACAAGGAATAAGCGATAGCCTGCTGGCTTATTCCAGGACAAGAGACCAGGTCATCAGCCAGCAGGACTGAGCAAAGGTGACAGCAACAAATGAAGGGAGAAGGGCATCAGGTGCCAGACAACAGGGCACCTGGAGGTCATCACAAGGGTTCTGGCTTAACCCTGAGTGAGAACCACCCCTGGAAGGCTCAGCACAGGCATGCTTGCAGGCGTATTTGAAGTAGGAAAAAAGGAGAGAGATCGCTCCAAGGTTCTGAGCACTGCAGAAGGCGTGATGAAAAGTGGTCGTGTCCTGATATATTTTGGAATGAAAACCAGTAGGACTGCTGGGCTGTGGCAAGTGCGATTTGAGGGAAAATAGGGACTCAGGATGATATCCGTGTTTCTGTCCTGCAGCTGAAGACTTGAAGGTGCATTTTATTGAAATGGGGAAATACAGAAGACAGCTTTAAAGGGAACATTGTGTTTGAACCTGGACCTGAATTTTATAAAACATCGGTTAAGTTAGGCACTGAGTTTCTTAATGAAATAAACACCTTGCCCATTCGGGATTACCTTTTATGGCAGTTGCCTGTTCATCTGTTTTGTCCAAACTGGATGCAAAATTCATGATTGTAGTAGGGAGGTTCCCATCAGTCTAAAACCAATTATAACAGGCTAGTGGGGTTACTTACATTGGAATTACATGTAAAAAGTCAATAAAAGATTATGTAAGGACTACCTTTTATGATAGGAACACTTACACTTAAACACAATTTTCACATGCTATTATACACAACACATAATCAAATTAAAATGCAAATCCCCATTTTCCCAAACTCAAATTAGATAAATAGATAGATAGATAGATAGATAGATAGATAGATAGACAGATAAAGCAAACATAACCCATAGGCAGTTTTGGCTGAGAGGAGCATACCTTTTCTGGCTCAGACCAAGTCTCTCTTTTTTGTCCTATCCATATTCTAGGTATTTTTAACATTTACCAGGACATTTTTAATACTCACCAGTCTAGAATTCAAGCTCTTGTTCATTCAGAGCCACCCAGTCATGCATTCTTGAATATTTGAACATTATCATGTGCAGTGGAGACTATCAGCTTTGGAGTCAAAAAGATCTGAGTTCAAACACTGACTGTACCATGTTTACTGAGGTACACTGCCTAAACTACTAAACTGAACCTTTCTGTCCCTCATTTCTGAAAATGAGAGCACAGTAGTAATAAGCTAAACTTTCAGTGAGTGTACCATGGTCCAACCACTGTTCCAACTGTGTTGCACTAATTTATCCCAACCCTGTTAACAGCTCTGTAATGCTCTGTTGTTGTCACTCTGACTTCAGCAATGACACATAAGGCACCTAAGGGACTTGCTCAAGGTGGTATACTTAGTAAGTTACAATTGCCAGTAGACAGTTTGACTGCAAAAGAAGTTTAAAACCACTACATTATACCGCTCCCATATGGTGAATATACACAGTGAATTAAATTAAATTAAATTAAATTGTACAAAGTATTTAGTCTGGTTCCTAACTTGACAATCACACAGTGTTATAACCCAAGCCCCCCTAATTAAATTAAATTAAATTGTACAAAGTATTTAGTCTGGTTCCTAACTTGACAATCACACAGTGTTATAACCCAAGCCCCCCTAATTAAATTAAATTAAATTGTACAAAGTATTTAGTCTGGTTCCTAACTTGACAATCACACAGTGTTATAACCCAAGCCCCCCTAACTATCACCGCCTGCTGCTTCCCCTCCCCTTCCCCCTTCCCATATAACTAGGTTAAGTTTTAACTTCCCAAAAGGCCATAAAACAAAGGCCTGAGGTAACAGCTCCTGACAACCCCCTTCTCTACTCGGTGGCCCGTCACAAGTTGTGTTAATTGCATTAGATTGTACTCTTCTTCACAAAAATAGCTTCGTTATATTTGTATCATAGCAATGCCTGTAACTTGGCCTTACTGTATATGTGTTTTCCTTTTCCCTCTGGGTAAAGGATTGATAATCAGTGCTCTCCTGTGTAAAGAATTGTAAAATCTTACCTAATTGATATGTTAACCATTGTTGCCCTCTACAAATAACAGATGTGGTGCTAAAGTAAGGTAACTAAGGTTCTTAATTGCTGTTAGACTTCTCTATTCTTTGCTAAGAAAAACAAGATTTCTTCTTATCTAAACTTGCTTGTATGCAGGGAGACTTGCTTGTTAGCACAACCCTAACCTGATCTTGCTCTTCCCAAGACGTGTAATCCCCGGTTCTGTTTTGTAGTGCACCACACCCCCATCCCCCTCCTTACATTGTGTGACCAGCAGCTGTTTGTGGATTTACAAGATAAAAACCCTGACTTTTAGCTGTCAGGTAGCAGTCTCCAAATTGGCTCCCGGAGACTCGTCACCAGGCCTGGCCTAATAAAGCCTTTGCTCCCCAAATTTTAATTTCTTGCTTCCTTGGATTTTATACCGGGGTCCGAGTTATCACAACAGCAAGTGCTACCCTTTCACCCATTCTGCCTTTCATTAGTGATGATCCTGCCCAGATGTGCCCTCTGGATCTCTTCTCTGTCCTTTGTGGATTTTCTCCTCTTGTCTACTTTTATGACTTCCTTAGTATGAGGACAAAAGTAATGAAACATTGAAATAAGAATGGAAGTTTAAGAGAACACAGCGGTCTGCTTCTCCAGATACCACAACTGTTCCTGCCAGAACTTCAGCAAACTGCTAAGGATTTGTGTGACCTGGAAGACTAGAAGGAAATGGAAGCCAAGAAAAGAGAGGTTAACAAATAAGAGTGTTTGTCAACTGTGAGCCTGAATGGAAATATAAAGCTATACGAATAATAGACAAATGAAAACCACAAAAGACGTTCTTTTAAAATTTTGGGTATTCTAGTAGACCAGTAGACAATTCAGCAGTTTTGGTAACAGTAACAAGGCATTATGGTGTTTCAAGCTTTTACCTAAGATTCACTGCACATCTTGAATGATCCGGGCACAGGCAGCTGTCTTTTCTATAATAGCCTCAGAAAATGCTTTTTCACTGTTTTCATGTTACAGTTTCAGATCTTTCTAAATGTGGTTTTGTTTTTTTCCTAAAGAATTTTCATGTGTGAGATTTCCTCTTCATTTAAGTGATGGGAAAATATCTAACTCTGAAAGCATGAGTTCTGGGAAGAGAAAAATACATAAAATTTTTGTAGAAAAAAAATCGAGATACTAGTTGTACCAGGGTGTGAACTAGCAGGGGCTAAATATGTACGCTTTCAAAGCTACAAAAACTAGGAAATTCAAGTCGAGTCTTAAATTTAGAAGCTACAATTGACAAAGGCAAAGAAAAGTGAGGGCCTGTCCTAGCCAGAAGGTTGCAGAGCAGACATTCTGGGAGGGAAGGGAAAAGCCGTCCCTGGCTTCGGTTCTGTGGAGAGATTTCACTTCCACCCTCTTGAAACCTGCCCCATGTTGAGATTACGCTTCAGAAACCTGAAAAATTCTCTAAAATGTCTTTGTGTAATAAAAAGTGTTTCCATAACATTTCTTAGGAATTAATCACCAAAGATAAATACTGAAGCTGTGTAAAAAGTTACCTATCTGCACACTACCTTTGTTTAACAAGAAAAAAAACAAAACCAACCAAGCAAATGCCTGGGGAGAAAAACCCAAACAAACCAGGAAGTAACTGCCAAGGGCTGGAGGCAGCCTGCGAACTTTCTTCTGGCTGCTGCTTTGTGGCTGGAGAAGACACCTGAGCGCTGCCGCCTGCAGCCTGGCTCTCCCGGGCCAAGACGACACATGGGATTATCCCCCAGAGACTTTACATGTCAGAGGTTTATGGAACTCTGTGTCTTGTGGTCATTCTTTTCATTTCTTATCTTCACTTCTGTATGAACAATCATTTAAAATATTTATGGAGATGTTAAGAGAATAAAACATCTTTTGAGATAAGAAACTAAACTATTAGTTCTAACTACACTACCAGTTCTAGCTAC